AGTTTGGAGCTGGAATGAAATTGATGTTAACTGATGGCAGATCTAACGGGTCTGGTTCTACAGCTCCAACCGTTCAGATGGCTTCCGATTGGCTGCCGGTACAATCCGGCGGGCCGCGCAGACGCCTGCCCTGAGAGAATCCGACATGAAGGAAATCCATGATTTAAGGATCTAAAGCCAGAAACAAAACCTCTTATCGCAAAAAATGAATCATCCAGAATTAGAAGAATCTAAATTTTCATTTTACTAAAAAATACATACAGTACGCTGAGCAGAATTATTAGGAAAGTTGGATTTTTGAGGATTATTTTTATTACTGGGCCTCAATCGACCCAAAAGACTCCTTCATATCAAAGTTTCATATTTTCTGACGTTTTTTTATTTAGATTTGGTTATTTAATGAGGATGTCTGTGTGAGCAGGTAAATATTACTGTACAGAATTATTAGGCAACGTAATTAAAATAAAATATATACCCATCTTGTTTATTTTCACCTGGTAAACCAATATAACAACTTAAAATTCAGAAATAAACATTTGCGACATTCAAAAACAAACCAAATCAGTGACCAATCTATCCTCCTTTCTCCACCATGACGCTCTAAATCCTTCCATCCATAGATTCGGTCAGAGTCTTGATCTGTGTGCGATCCTCATTGCATGCAGCAGCCTTCCTGTTTTCCCTCCCTGTAGATCTCACCTTTCATGGAGGACCACAGGTTCTCCATGGGGTTCAGATCAGGTGAACAAGAGGGTGTTGTTGGAACATTTGTATTTCTTTTCTATTATATATTAATTTATCCTATTTACTTTCTATAAAAGTTTTCACTCAGTTTGTTTCACTTTCAAGGCCGCACCATTCTCTGCAGGATGGTGTTTGTAGACCAGACATAGCTTCCTCCATAACAAACCAGATTCTTTCTCCAGGTTTATTCATAACATGTTACTGTTTAACCAAAGTGTCTGTAATATGTTTTGACTCTTACTATTTTTCATTATTATAAGTAAGGGGGAACGAACGCTGCTCAGGCAGAACAGGGCTGAACGCTGTGCCATGAGGGCTGTATGATGAACTGTTCTCTCTTTGCAAAGATATGAATAAATGTGCCGACTGAGTGAAATCCACCTATCTCCATTTATTTAACAAGGGTGAATAGTTGAATACTTTTTTCCCACGACAGGGGCCATGTCATTATTTTCTCCTTTTAGCCTTTTTCTGGCCGCCACGCTGTGGTGTATTCTGATGCTTGGTCAGGTCCCTGAGTATTGAGCACCTTCTGCTTCTCGGCGCTCCAGACATGTTGCAGCTCTGAAATATGGTCCAACTGGTGGCTAATGGCTTCCTGGCAGCTTCATGCTTCATCCTTCTCAATTTATGGGGACATATTTAGCTTCTTCTCTTTTCAACTCGCTTCTTGTTCCCCTGTTGGCCATTTGCCATGAACCGCTTGATTGTGCGATGATCCCGCTTCAAAAGCTTGGTTATTTCCAAACTGCTGATCCCCTCTGAAAGACTTCTGACCATTTTTGACCTTTTCAGAGTCTGTTAAATCTTTTTTCTGACCCATTTTGCCAAAGGAGAGGAAGTTGCCTAATAATTAAGCACACCTTATGTAGGGTGTTGATGTCATTAGGCCACGCCCTGCACCTGGAGAGGAGCAGCAGAGTGTCTGCGGAAGGGGGTGGGGTGGTCACATTTGCATTCACGGAGTCACCTACGCTGGTTTCTAAGCGTGCGTCAAAGTGATGAATTTATCTTTATTTGAAAACATGGCCGCCAGTAGCTTCACTTCCCCCAGTAATACCAACGGGACAGTCAGCAATGCAGGGAATGAATAGAGAGCAGCGGTCGACACACACTGATCAACCGGC